TCTTGGCCCCGATCGGGATGTTCCCCATTGTCCAGTATTTGCATACTTCGGTCAGGACGATGTCAGCGATCTCGCTGACTGGAAACCATTGTCCCTTGACCTGCCGCCTGATGTGGAGGTAGAGGCTGAGGACCTACCCCCTGGTCGGCAGTCGCGGCCTTCCGGTGAAGGCCAGCAGCCCGCTGGTATCATCATCAGCCAGGAAGGCAACGGCCCACTGGTCAGCAACGGCCTCACTCGGCTGGCCAACTAGAGGCTTGGATGCCCCAGCTCTTGTTTGTCTTGCGGTAGACATGGCGCCATCACCTGAAGGCGAGCTGACACAGTGCTGTGAAATTGACACAATGGTTGACACAGTGTTTTGCGGGCAATGCATGAGGGCCATGTCTCATTCCCCCACCCTCCAGGCATAAGTGCACAGCAGCTGCTGTTGTGAGGATTAAGAAATGTGAGAAGCGCCACTCGCCAACCTTGAGGGGTCATGACATGCATGTAATTACCCGCAATGGGGGGGGGGGCGTCTGCACTCGCAACAGACCGCGGCTCAAATCATAGGCTTACCTAGATATTTTCAACTCAGTTCAGGCGAGGTGAAAGTTCTCGATGCATATGTATGGCGCATTTGGACAAATAAAGACCAAAACGATTCCTATTCTGGGGATCTTGATACGCAATATTTTAAGTGATTTATTGTAATCCACATGGTATTTAGTCATGATGTGATTTCATCATTTGGCTCTTGGCATGCATGATAATATATTTTGTGATTTGTGCAGCTATTTTTCCTTGAAAACAAGATCACCGGCCCAATCAATTGCGCATTAAACTGTGTTACGTATGTTAAAAGCGAAAGTTCATGAAGTACTAAATTGGCAAAATTTGATAAACTTTCAATCGATTTGAGGCAAGGTGAAAGTTCTTTAAAATTTCGATTGCCGCACCATTTTGGAAACGTATTGAAAGGACCTATGGGAAAAACCCGGTTCCCGTGGTTTCGGACAACTTTAATACATTTCGGACCCCCCTAACGTGGCACCTCGATGGCCAGATTCTAATAAAAAAGAATCGATCAGAGCACCTTGGAGTGATCCTAGACTGCAAATTTTCTGTCACACCTCACACAGAAATGCGCATAAAACGGGAAGAGCCGCTTTTTATGGCCTCTCCACGACTGGAATATTGTCCAGACGTCTATCGCCAAATGACAAGATTTTCTTGTGGAAAGCGGTGGTGGTATGTACCAGCCCTTGTATTTGGCTGCGATGTAGCGCCTCTGAGCCCAACTGATGTCACTCGACTAGAAGCATTGCAATCTTCGTGTCTGAAAGCTGCCCTGGGATTACCACGTTTTGCCCACCATACGCTGCTTTTGGAGGCTGCTGACGTCCCTCAAGTTCACGAGGTTTTACGCAGTCGGACGCTGAAGACATTTTATTCAGCGATGAATAGCTCGGATCGCCTGGTCAGCGGTCTACTCTCCTCTGTCGCTGTTCTCGGGTGTAACTCCACAGCACTTCCCGGATCTTTCGCACAAATTGTGTTCTAGATGTGTGGAACCGGGTTAAATGAGATAATGGATATTGTTGCCGGACATATCGATCCAGACATCATCACTGCACCGCGACCCGGAAATGGTCTCAGAGACTCCCTAGCAGGCCTTTTGAGCTCCACATGTGAGATGTCGCGGAAGCTATTGCGTTTGCTTACTGTGAATACCTGAGCTGTATGAGCGTGAAAGCATATTTGTCGCTGATATGTGACGCCTAATAAACATTATTATTACGAGCGAGCGAGCGCAGCGAGCGAAGCGAGTCTTTTCAATATAACGGAAAAATCTCAGTATGAGCGGCCCGGCCCGGCCCGGCCTGTAACGCTTTTGAGAGGCTTATATCTCAGCAACCGCTGGACCGATTGGCCTGCGGTCTTTTTTGCTGGGTAGCCCCATCCCTTCTACCCCGTAATTGACTACTTTTGATACACCTCAGTGACCGTCGTGGCACGTGCCACGTGAAAAGCCAAGGGTGTTCAAACTGTTTTGCAAAAGTAGTGATTTTGAGAGGCTCATATCTCAGCAGCCGCTTGGGCGATTGACTTGCGGTAATTTTTATAGGGTAGCTGCATCCTTTCTACCAAAAATAGGATACTCTCGATGCATGTGGGTCACCCCCAGTGCACGTGCAAAATACAACAATAAGAGGTGTCAAATTTGTTCCCATTTTAATAACTCGGTAATTACTGGGGCAATTTCGCTGAAACTCACATACAGGTAGGCACCCACCAGGCAATGCATTCCCATGTGTTGCGGTTAAGGTGCTACTGCACGTGCGCACGTGCAGGGGGCGCTTCCAGATCTCGAGAACGGCTGGGCCGATTGCGCTCAAATTTGGTACACGGCTGGGGACCAGTTAGTAGGGTGCCGTGCAAAAGTCAGTTTGGACCCCGTTTGCACGTGCGCACGTGCAGAGTGCCGCTTCCAGATCTCAGGAACGGCTGGGCCGGTTGCGTTCAAATTTGGTACACAGCTAGCGACCGGTTAGAGGGGTGCTTTGCGCAAGCCCGTTGGAAGTACCCCCTCGCCCTTTCGCACGTGCAGGGCTCACTATCTCGCTCGCTCGTTCTTCGCCCAAAAGGCGTTTTACTGGTTATTATTATTATTATTATTATAAGGGTCATTTCACGCTTTTGTTTGGCTTTCTTTGATCCATATTGACACTGAGTTGTGCAATTGCGCCTTGTTGCCGGCTGTGAGAGACGCATATTAATATTTGAGAATATTTTTCGCTACATATTGTTCTTTTGCCATTCAGCTTTCACTGGAAAACGAAAAAACATGCCTATTATTTCAAGAACGTCCTGGACAGCTCGTTGAATAAAAATCATTACGTTTTTACAACAACACAATTTTTTAAAAAGGCCATGGAACGATTTCGATAAAAAAACACATTTTTTGAATTACCTCACCGTCACCGTCTGCTTTCGAATGGTATTGTGACGTGCTGGACAGACATGTGCATGTATCCGAGAAAATGGATCCGGGATCTGATCTCACGGATCCGGATCCGGATCTGTAGGGATCATAGATCCAGCTCTTAAATTTATCGAGATATCCGCAGGGATCATAGATCCGAGTCGTAATTTTTTGCTTGAGATCCAGTGATATCATAGACCCGATTTACTTTTTGTCAACTCAGAAATCCTAGAAAATCACTCGTTGCAACTCACAAACGTTCTGTTTAAGTGATTTTATGTGATTGCACGTCATTATCCATAGTTTTGTGGCGCTTATTGACGTTGAAACACTTGGAAACCTGATTTCAAATGTTGTGCATTATGGGATCCACTCGGATCATAGATTCATGTTCTTGGTTTATCGTCAGATCCTATGAAATCATAGATCCAGATTGGATTTTTCACGCCAGATCCGGTGGAATCATAGATCCTAGCCTGCAATTTGCTTCGAGGTCCACTGAAATCATAGATCCATCACTCGGATCCATGCACATGTCTGGTGCTGGATCAGTGCATGTATTTGGTTTACTGGGTTTGGTGTCCTCGTCTGCTCACGACGGCATGTTGTGTTGTTGTGTGTGTTGTTGCATGTTGTGCATGGTTGTGTTCCGTGGCGGCTGCCGCATGGCATGCTGGGCAATGTGCAGTGTGCATATGGAGTAATGCATGCTTGCGCGGGCTGGCTCCCGGGTATCACCCACAGCGGTTAAGCCGCTCAAATGTGTACTAAAAAGGGTCCCGAACGCCAAAAAAAAATTGCAGCATCAGTGCTGCAACATATTTATCAGGATCACGGATCGTTCAGCGATTCTGACTTGTCCGTGCGTAGCCAGAACAAAAGAGGTCATCAAGACAGTCTTCGAGCTCGTGTCGCAGAAAGATGTCACAGATGTCACGCAAGTGACGGCAGAGCCCACTGATTCAAACGTTGAAGACGGTAGAGTGGAGCTCTCCCAGTCAGTGACTCTGCCCTCAAAGCGACTTTGGGGCAAAGTCTGAGAGACAGGAGGAGGGAGGAGAGAAGCTGTCGTGTCACTGCCTCTCGCTTCGGAGAGATCATGAACATGAGGCCCACAACCGACGGGTCTCGTCTAGCAGCAACCATCGTTCGTCCGTCCCCGCTTAACGTCCCAGCTGTGAAGTGGGGTAAGATGCACGAAGGCAGGGTGCTCCGTGAGTACGAGTTGGCACAGGGCATCAGCGTGGCACGTTCTGGGCTGGTAGTGGATCGCACCCGTCCATACCTGGCCTGCTCACCAGACGGCATTGCTGCCGACCGGCTGGTGGAGGTCAAGGGCATTTATTCATGCCGAGAGCTAGAGGTGCGTGCGGGACTGACCGACTGGCTGGTGGAGCAGGATGGGCACCTGAAACTGAAGGAGCAGTGTCGGTACTGGTGGCAAGTGCAAGGTCAGATGGCCATCGTCGGAAAAGATATGTGTGATGTCGTTGTTTTCACGGACACAGATACGAAAACTGTGGAGGTGTTATCTGTACCCGGCTTGTATGAGGAGGTTATGGTACCTAAGCTCAAACAGTTCTTTGAGTCGTATGTGGCTCGTGCCCTGTTTGACTGAAGGTGCATGAATGGTGTTTGCGGCGCTATGGCCCCTGTCACGTTTGACCGCCCGGGCCGTCCTCGCTGACCCGGTCACCCGCCCCCTCTGCTACCGTGTGGCGCCGGTCTGATTTCTGCCGGCAAATGCCTGCGCTCTACTGGCCTCTCAGGACACGCGGCCAATGACTGCGCGCGCCACGCCTTGGCGGCGTGACCCGGTTCGTGTCGCATGCGAGTGATCACGGCTGTGAACGTTGAAGCGCAGACCTGTCGACTGTTGTAATAATAATAATATGCCATTTATATGTTGTGATGCCAAAATGTTGTGATGCCAATACATGCATTATGCTCATCTGTGTCTCGGGCAGCACGATACGACGCATATCTGAATACTATTCATATCCGAAAGTCCTCGCTGTCACCGAAACGCCAATGCTATTTCATCTATATGTATTTTCGTATACCAACGTAACGACTTGTGCTGACATTCCGCTCGCATTCGTCACACACGTTTCACCCAAACTCATCTTAACGTGGAGCGCGAATACAGAAACATATCGCACTCAATAGAACACATTGCTACCGGTGTTTTCGTGAATAGCCAACCATGCATCACGCTCGTCATGAAATGCGCACACACTGATTGATGATATCGGCCCTACAGTCGGAAGTTGGCCCTATAGGATAGCTGGTCGCAGGCTACACAAAAACGCGGCGACGTAGTATAGTTCACTCACATACTGCACGTAGGCAGAGTTGATCGTGCCTTTCAACAGCTGATAGGTTTTCGTGAGACCGATCACACGCTCAACGTGGATACGGTCTTTGGTTATTGCCCGGCTGACTGCTACCTCCGCGGGTGACAGTTGTGCCCTACCTCTTAGGAATGCTGGTGTTACCACACGAATGTCCCGCGTGGCGAGGATATCCTGTACGTTGAATCCACGGTCTGCCATTACTATGTCACCCGGCTGAAGCTTGTCTACGATACCAGACTTCACAAAAACTTTCTGATCGGATGAACTGCCAGAAAAGGCATCAGACACGAAAGAAATGCCACCCTCCATGGTAATACCTAGCAAAATTTTGACAGTATTGCCGCTTTTGTAAGTAGAATAGGTCTTTGACTGAAGGGTTGGATCTGCCGGGCGTTGAATTCTGACCTCCGTGCAATCAATGATGACGACTGGCTTGTTGTGATCATACTTTGAGGGCCAAATATCTACCTGACGGAACACACCGTCCATGAACTTCACCATCCTTATGAAAACCCTAGTTACTTGTGATGTGCTGACGTCAAACATGGTTGCCAGAAAGCTGTTGGTGAGGTTGTTGCGCAGCTTGGTTACAGTGAGAAGGACATCATTCTCAAAACCCAAAGACGCAGTGGTGTACCGCTTAGTTGCACGCTCCTTCTGGTATGCTGGGTGCAGAATATACAGGAGCATGTGGAATGTTTCAATATCATCAAACCCAGTCAGTGATTTAATATCTGAGCCCTTAAGCTTTGCAAAATCAATGTAACCACTACGCATGTCACACTGAATGGCCTTGTCATTAGTAGATAACTGGGCATCGTCTGGTTCAACTGTAGCCTCTATACCAGATGCACTGTCATTCAACAGCTCTGCTGTGCTGCTGCCAGCAAGTGTTGGTGTCTCAGGTGTTTCTGCCACACCTGCATCAACATCACCCACTTCCACCTCAACAACAGATAGCACATCTTTAAAAAAGATTTGCTCGGGAACCGAGGTCTCTGATTCTTCCTCCACATCTTCTTCTTGCACAAGGCTGCTCAGATAATCGGCCTGTAAACCGGAGACGTTGGAATACATTTTTTATTGAATCAATATTTTGATTCCTACTCCTTAGTTTGCCCAACTGGCATCAGAACCCTGAACCGGTACTGCTGCAAATAACTTCTCCGCCCCATTTGGGTTGTGATGGGGGGACATACTGTCACAATAAAAAACACTTGGATATAAACTGTTCTCTATTTGATTATGCCATTCTTACCTCTTGGGGAAGCTCACTTTCATCTTCTGAGTTGCCCCTTTCTTGGTTCCTTGACAGAGCCCCTAGCTCACGCCCAATGGCAGTATTTCTGCGGCATCTCTGGTTAATTTTCCACTTGAACTTTGATGGCACCGCACCTGGTTTCAGCTGAAGCTTTTTGGTAGATCTCCTGCAACCGAAAACAATAGTTGTATCAAGGACTCAATCACAAAACAATAAATAGACCAATGTGAATCATTATATTACACCAAATGGTTAATAGTATGGGGTGTACAGAAAATGCATGAGATCTATGGATGTCTGCTGATGCTGTCCTCTGGCTGATGCTTTATAACTGCTACTGTCTTGATAAGTATCAACAATTTACTGAGTGGTTATGTAATATCTAACAATTATGCATGGATCACTTGGATCACTTAGCACATTGTTTCAAGTTCGTTGGCCTATTTATGTAACTGATGATGACCAGTGGTTTAAAATTCAAAGTTAAACATATTCAATATATATATCAATAAATAGACCAATGTGACTAATAGAGGACTCAATCACAAAACAATAAATAGACCAATGTGAATCATTATATTACACCAAATGGTTAATGGTATGGGGTGTACAGAAAATGCATGAGATCTATGGATGTCTGCTGATGCTGTCCTCTGGCTGATGCTTTATAACTGCTACTGTCTTGATAAGTATCAACAATTTACTGAGTGGTTATGTAATATCTAACAATTATGCATGGATCACTTGGATCACTTAGCACATTGTTTCAAGTTCGTTGGCCTATTTATGTAACTGATGATGACCAGTGGTTTAAAATTCAAAGTTAAACATATTCAATATATATATTTTTTTCACTGGTTGTATTCATAAGATGTTGATGTTGATGAGTGTGTGGTGGACTTTGAGGTCAGTGCAGATTTAGACTGGTCATTTTCGGGATCAGTGAGCTTTTTTCTCTCAGCCCTCTTTGGTGTGAATTTTCTGACTCTGTTTGAAGGACTGGTGGGATTTTGAGCTTGGGCCAGTGCGCCTCGTCAACCTGCCAGTAATACTCACCTCCCCACACTAAATCCTCACCTGACGGACAAGCCCACACCCACAAGATCTCGTCAAAATTGCTATACTTTGTAGACTGGACCTAACCTGACCTAATCTTCCCCATAACATACCTACAAACCTACAACCTCCCCTATAAACCTGCAAACCTACAAACCTATAGCGCCTTGAAAACCTTCATGGGAACGGGGACGTCTGCTCTACTAATGTTGGCATATTGATCTTATATTTGAATTTTGAATCAACTTGGCACATTGATGTTTATTTGAATGCACATGCAATACATTCTTTAAAAATATGAAATGTATTAATATGCACAAGAGTGGTGCATTACTCACCAACATATGTCCTTCCAACATAATCTTCAGTGACAAAATGTGCATGGCACACTCTGCTATGTTCAGATGGCTTGAAAGTTGCCTCTCGCCTTATTCTTGCTAGCCAGACCTTCTTAAGCCCCGGATCCTTTGGAAACTTGTGTCCACCTCTATTTTTGCAGCCATACACTACACAATAACCACCCATAGCAATGACTTATTGAAGGATATCACAGTATTGTTTCGTTTTTCCTTCTCATTCCAGTGGAGCAAGGTATATAAAAACACTGTGGAGGGTGGAATGCAATAACCAAGGCCCTAAATGCAATAACATTACCAGCCATGCTTCTCATTTGAATCATCTGCGCCATTTCTGTATCGCGATTTTGTCCCAATCAAAACACCCAGAGCCACCTGGTGGCGAAATAACGGCACACTCCCCATTTAGTATATCTAGATTAGGTAAGGACGCCATCCTCCCCCGGCTGCCTCGGATACAAGATTCAGAACTTGGTCCCTTATGCCATTATGGGTACTAAAGAGGTCAAAATGGGCACTCAGAGGTCGGCGTGGGCTCCTGAGGTCCGCATTGATCTTTCAGAGACAAGCATGGGCTATGAGAGTTCAACTGCACCAAGGTAAATGTTCTGTGTTCGCCCGCACATTCAATGTTTTAAAGCTCGATTTTCTGGCTGCTGTCACTGTCAGAGACAGAAGGGACATGTCACCATGACCAAAACGTTTGAGTCATACTGTCTTCCCTGAACCAGTATAACGCCTTTTGGGGCGACTAACGGAGCGAGCGAGAGGGTGGGCCTTGCACGTGCGAAATTGCGAAGGGGTACCTCCAACTGACTTGTGCATGGCACCCTACTAACCGGTCTCTAGCGATGTGCCAAATTTGGGCACAATCGGCCCAGCCGTTCTCGAGATCTGGAAGCGGCACCCTGCACGTGCGCACGTGCAAAATGGGTCCCAACTGGCTTGTGCACGGCACCCTACTAACCGGTCCCTAACTGTGTACCAAATTTGAGCGCAATCGGTCGAGCCGTTCTCGAGATCTGGAAACGACCCCTGCACGTGCGCACGTGCAGCAGCACCCCAACTCTGGCACATGGATATGCAGTGCCTAGTGGGTGCCTACCTACATGCCAACTTTCAGCGCAATCGGCCAAGTAGTTACCGAGATATTGCAACAATTACAAAACTGACACCTCTTCGTTTTGCACGTGGCACGTGCGTAAGGGGTCACCCACATGCATCGGGAATAGTCCAATACTTGGTAGAAGGAATGAAGCTACCCTACAAAAATTACCGCGTGTAAATCGGTCAAGTGGTTGCTGAGATATAAGCCTCGCAAAAGCGTGACCACGGCCGGCCGGCCGGCCGGCCGGCCGCTCATACTCAGAAATTTCCGTTAATCTAAGGAAAGACTACGCTCGCTTTGCTCGCTCCGTAATAATCATCCATAGTTCTCTTTGCCGACGGCATGTTGCGGGAAGTTGTAAAACACCGAAAACCTATGGACTTGGTATGTGTTTTTACTTTTTTAGCTATAAGCTACCAGTTTGTAGCTCGTCAGTTTACTATTTAGGAGCCATTTTGTGTGTGTGTGTGTGTGTGTGTGTACGTGTGTGTGTGTGTGGGGGTGTGTGTGTGCGTGTGCGTGTGCGTGTGCGCGTGCGTGTGTGCGTGCGTGCGTGCGTGCGTGTCGCCGCAGGTGGAGGTGACGACTGACGGTGTCTGTATGTCCGCGTGTCGCCGCAGGTGACGACTGACGGTGTCTGTATGTCCGCGTGTCGCCGCAGGTGACGACTGACGGTGTCTGTATGTCCGCGTGTCGCCGCAGGTGACGACAGACGGTGTCTGTACCGGGCTTTGCAAAAGTTCTGTTACACTTTCTTTTTCTTTATTTTGAGGGGTTTACAGGTCGGGGCCAAACGTTTCGGCGATACCAATTGAAAATTCTGCTTATTAGAGACATGGTACCATGACGAATTTAACCTTCTTTTGCAGTTATATCAAAATGGAGGCCAAGAGAATAGAGATAGCCGCTTTGCTCCGCGCGCAGCATACCAAAGCTTTCATTGCCAAGCACCTGAAAGTCAGTCGGATGACCGTCCACAGAGTTGCGGACAAGCTCAAGAGCGGAGAAGGTCTCAAAGATCGACCCCGTACCGGCAGACCTCGAGTAGTGAGCCGACTGGCCGTAAAACGGGCATTCGAACGCAACCCAAGGCTGAAAATGACTGAGGTCGCGAAACGCAAGAAGATTTCGGTCGCCACGGTGTCAAGGGCCGTCAAGAACCAGGGTGGAAAGAGCCTACGACTACTGGAAGGGCCTCTGCTCACTGCCCGAATGCGGGAGCAGCGCCGCAACCGCTGTCAGCGCCTGCTCAGCGACCTGAAGAGCAACGGAAAACGCGTCCTCATCTTCTCTGACGAGAAAACCTTCACGGTTGACCCGGTCGTGAACAAGCAGAACGACCGCGTCGTCACCTTTGGGAACGATGTTTCCGAGGTCCGCTGCGTGTTAAAGACCAAACATCCGGCCTCCGTGATGATGCAACTCTGTGGACGGTCATCCGACTGACTTTCAGGTGCTTGGCAATGAAAGCTTTGGTATGCTGCGCGCGGAGCAAAGCGGCTATCTCTATTCTCTTGGCCTCCATTTTGATATAGCTGCAAAAGAAGGTTAAATTCGTCATGGTACCATGTCTCTAATAAGCAGAATTTTCAATTGATATCACCTAAACGTTTGGCCCAGACATGTAAACCCCTCAAAATAAAGAAAAAGAAAGTGTAACAGAACTTTTGCAAAGCCCGGTATGTCCGCGTGTCGCCGCAGGTGGAGGTGACGGTGTCTGTATGTCCGCGTGTCGCCGCAGGTGGAGGTGACGGTGGCGGGCGTCGCCGGCTGCGAGCCGGTCAGGTGCAGCCGCTCTGTGCGCATAGTCCCCGACGCTGCGCTCAGCTCGGCGGCGGACGCAGGCCCCTACGACGCGCTCGTCCTGCCCGGCGGACTGGGAGGCGCGCAGGCCTTCTGCCAGGTCGGTTCGCCCTGCCCCTCTCGGGCTCCTGCTTCATGCAGTGATGCGTAGTAAGGTTTTTTCCCGATTTCGGAAAATAGTTGATAGGATGTTTTTCACATTATTTCGCGGCTTTTGATTCAAATGGTCTTTCATTCAATGGTCTTTATGTCTTTATGAAGTCTTTATGAAGACATGTTAAATATATATATATATATATATATATATATATATATATATATATATATATATATATATATAAATATATATATATATACATATATATATATATATATATATATATATATATATATATATATATATATATATATATATATATATATATAATATATATGTTACAGAGAGTTTGAGAAATCCGTGAGTTTGCAAACTCACTAGGGAGTTTGCAAATTCACTAGGGAGTTTGCAAACTCACTGACCGGTCAGGGAGTTTGAGAAATTCCAGAGCGATTGGGCCAAATAAAATCAAGTGTGTAAGATGAGGGTGGCATACGTGATGCTAAAACAAAGGCAACTAGTGGCACGGCCTATATAACCGTCGCACGCTGACAAAAAGCTTACAGATCCTTAATTGTTTTACCGGAAAAAATGATAATCGCGGCTATGTAAAGGGGATGCTCGGAGCAACGTGCTCGCGGTGTTCCTCCGTTCCGTCGTTTCCATCCTCAGGAATCAGGATACTGAAATCCTTCTCCTCCACGCCGAAGCCCCCACTCCGGGCTGGACAGGCACCTTTATCTCATGCGGGCTGCTCCCTTGGAGCGGCACCGCTGCTCCCGAGGGAGCGCATCCCGTAGCCGGGTGCAGAGAGTGCTTGGGGGGCTGGTAGGCCTGTCCATTCGGACGGGTTGGCAGCCCCGGCGACTCTAGGGTGTCTGCCCAGACCAATGTCTCCCCCTAATTCCTATCATTCGTCCGGCTCTGAAATGGGCTTGTCAGACCGAAAGGGCCTAACCCAACAAAACAAAAACAAACAAGCACCGTGCGCCAGTCACAGTTGGGCTGGCTGCCAGCAGCGCTGGCTCTCGATGACACGTCTATGGCGGAGTGGGAATGGGCGTGAATTGGTGCGTGTGCCTGTACTTTAGCATAAGTGACCAACAGTGAGATGTTTCTACTTTGAATATATTGAGCCTGACTCTGGAATAGCCACACTTGAGTGGAACGGATCTAATTGGGACGTGAACTAAATAAATGTATGACTAAATAAAGCGGTGTTGCACATGGATGACTGAGCAGTTTAAAATAAAAAAGGTATTAATGGTGTGCATATGATCTATGTATAAGCTTTTTGTCAGCGTGCGAGGCCCTACAACTAGCCGCCTTTGTTTTATCATGACGGACGGCACGTATGCCACCCACATGCTGCACACTTGTTTTTATTTGGCCAATCCACAATGGGTCCGATGCAGGAATTAGCACGCCAAAAATAATAACTGCCCTTTAATGGCTGCTTTTACACCAGAGATGAAAGCCAGAACATCCGAAATGGATTTTGCGTGATTTCTAAACATGTAGGTACCGTGTGACATGTGAGATGTCTCATCTCATCTCATCTCATATATTTAACACATACATTCGAAACAGACAATCAGTGTCGCCTCGATTGGCGCAAAAGTGCCGGAGCACTTAACTCGGGGCGCCTCTCGAGTCCGCACAATCACACTGGGTGCCGCCCACAGCCTCGCAGCCGCTGCCCGCCACCGCGCAGACCGCTCTCAATAGATGTCAGGCGCCGGCGCCGAGGGCAGCGCTCTGTGACGACCGGTGTCAAAGGACTGGGCGCTAGGGATGGGTGGCAGGATGGGAAGGAGAGGCAAAACGTTTGGTGGCATGGATGAATTGGTACACCGCTCGTGCTACCTCGAATTCGTCCCTGGGTCGTACCGTATTACCGTGTAGTATGAAGTCTAGTTGTTCCTTTTGTGATAAATTGTGTATGTCAATGCCTGTTATACCATTTATTATGTTTGTCATTCTCTCTCTTTCTTGTGTGTACTTTGGACATTTTAGTAAGTAATGTCCTGTGTTCTCGTTAGTTCTGCCTTGACAGTGGTTGCAATATGGAGATTCAGTTTTTTGTATTTGAAATAAATGGGATTTTAACTCTGACATCCCAACCCTTAGACGTGTTAGAAGTGTATTTTCCATTTTCGAACCATAAATATAATACTTTGGTGGTTTTTCTATATGTAAGTGAGACTTGAGATGTTTTTTAAATGAGAATAAAGTTCTAGTCTCTCTCAAGTTCTGTGGCAGTTCATTTATTAGTTTAATTGTACTGGGAAGAAACGAGTTTTTCAGTAGACAGGTTTTGGGATATATTTCCCTTCTGTTATTAGAGTTGCGAAGAAGTCGGTTGTTATTTCTTCGATCAGGGGGCAATAGTTGTTTGATATATGTTGGAGTATCGTCGAGCGTCAGTCGTTGGAAAAATACTATCTTATGCATTTCACGTCTCTTCTTTAATGAAGTCCATCCTAGTTCTCGTCTGAGATTGTCTGTCGGAGTTCTAAATAATGTCGCAGTCACAAGTCTGGCCCCTCTGTTCTGAAGTGTTTCAAGTCGTAAAGTATCGTGTGCTGTTAGCAGTCCGTCGTAAATGATGTCCGCGTAGTCAAAATATGGCAATACATGTGTCGTATATATTTGTTGCAATAAGGTCCTGGGCAAGTAGGAAGCGATACGATAGAGTGGGCTAAGGGCAATGTTAACCCTCGCATGTGTAGGGGGGGGGTCGGATGGACCCCCCCCCCCATAGTTTTTCGCGAATAACTCGCGTAAAAAGCGGCCGATGGCGACGAAACTTTCAGTACCCTCACATTGATCAATTTTACACCTACCCTGAAAATTTCATGACCCTGACCCAAATGACCTTTGACCTGTGACCTCTTTTCCGAGACCATGTTTGGCGGGAATCGCGATTCTGCGTATGTCGGCTCGCATTAGCCGCGCGTTTGCAAGCTTTTCGTGGTTTCAAACGTTCAAACATGTAATTTGATGTTACTCCCGTGGGTGTCAAGGTCACCTGAAGGTCAGGTCAGGTCATTGACCTTTGGTGACCTCGGGTGACCTCGGTTCAGTTTTTCGAGTTTTACATGTTTCTAGGCTAGTTTTTGGAGCTGAATTCGAATTTAGCAACCATTTGAACATTTACGAAGTAGTTTTGGTGACTTCGTAACATGTTACGAAGCTGTCAGAGGCGGTTGACACGTACTACGAATACCCGTCACGACGCCTACTGGTTGACCTGACCTGACCTGACCCGACCTGGTCTAAATGCTTCAAGACATCATCTGTGATCAAAACTAACACGATATTCGTGATCAGCACCCCGAAAAACCTCTTAGCAGCCACTCTTTACGACTTTCTAACAGGTCCCGATTTTCCCGACTTTGGGGTCATTGACCTGACCTGGAAGGTCAACCAATGACCTAGGACCTTAAAATTGGATATCATCGGCTTCCTCTCGTCACGGGCAACACGCTCGTTTTTTCCGCGAAGCTCTAGCTCGATCAGGGGCCAAACGGCAAGGGGGGGTCCAACCGACCCCCCCCTACACATTAGAAGCTGGCAAACGCCGCACACATGCGAGGGTTAACTTTTCTGATGATGTCGTTGATGTGCTCGTGAAACCTAAGGTCGTGCGATATTGTCAATCCCGGATGTTTATGATTAGCAACAACTGGGATGGGCATGGCTGCAAATGTTAGTTTTGGTGGGATTTTCTGTTTGCGTTTTGTGAAATGCTGTTGGAGAGTTTTCCTTGGGTTAAATTGTATCATCCAGTTGTCACCGTACTTGTGGATTTCATTTAGATCTCTTTGAAGTGAGCTTTCAACTGTTTCTCTATTATTAGGAGAGTGTGGGGCTATCAGACAAGCATCGTCGGCGAAGAATAGCATTTCATTTTCGGTTTTTGTTGAAAGGTTATTTAAGTACATTAACGCTAAAAGGGGGCCCAAAACTGAACCCTGAGGGCATCCCGCTTGAAGTGGTCGGAGCGAAGATGTGGAATTGTTTATTACTACGCGTTGATGTCGATTTGTTAAGTATGAAGTTAGCCATGGTATAAGGTTTGCCAGACCGAATTCATGTTCACATTTGTGGAGAAGGCCCTTGTGCCAAATTTTCTCGAAATAGTGGCTGATGTCCAGATAGATAATGTTATGGTCCTTCCCGTCGTCAAGGTTTTCATATAACGAATGGGTTAAGTAGAAAAGCTGCAACTGAGTCCCATGTCCGGGCCGGTAACCGCTTTGCCGCTCCGTTAGTAGGTTGTGTTCAGTTATGTGGTTGTAAATACGTTTGAATACTATTTTTTCAAATATTTTCGAGATGCAGCTTAATAAACTGATGGGCCTGTACCCTTCTACATCTGCTGGACTACCTTTGTTTTTAAAAATTGGTTTCACGTTTGCAATTTTCCAGCTTTTTGGGTACTGGCTTGTGTCGATAGACTTATTGAACAGTTTTGAAAGTGGTTCAGCGAGAATAACTGCCGCTAACTTTATTATTCTTACTGGTACCTCATCGGAACCGGTTGATTTATTTACATTTAATCTATTTATTATACTTAATACTTCTCGTTCTGATATTTTGGCCGCCCTTAATAATGGGACTTCTGGATAGTCCTGTGGCTGAATCACTCTCGTTTCGCTGTCTTCAAGATGTGATTGGGCGGCAAAATATGCATTTAATAAATCAGCTTTCGCCTCATCATGTTCTATTAAGTTGTTACTGTTATTATTGTTATGCAAAGGGGGAATATGCGAAGATTTTGTTTTCCCAATCATTTTCCTTATGATTGAGTGGTACTTGTGTGGGTTGTGTTTCATTTGGACAAGGAGATGTCCTTCTTTAATAAGATAATTACGCTTTAATTTGTGTACCATTGCTGTAACTTGGTTACGGCAATGCCTCCATCTATTCCACTGCAATTTATTTAAACTGTCATCGGCACTGTTTTCTCTTCGAGCTACTCTAAATAGTCTGTCCCT